TTCGCCTTATATACAACAAGCTTATATGTATAAATGTATAACTAATTTAAGTACAAGAATTTAAAAAAGGGAGAAGCCAAAAGGAAAAAGCAAATGATACAGCAGTTAACCTACTTGAAGATGTGCTCATATGTATATTTATTTTAAAATATAATATTAACATATTAAATACTATTAATAAAAGTTAATTACCTCTTACCCTCCCCAAATGAGGAAACAGTATATTTTTTAAGTTGAATTAAATATTATTTTATCCTTCCAGTGTCAGATTCATTTTAAATTAATGTATATACAGCCTCATATTCTCAAGGAAAATCCTGCAAGGCATTTTCACAGATGACTTGGTTTCTGAGTGGTAGTAATTTGACATAGCATGAAGTGACAACCTATTATTACTTTAATAATAAGGTCAGCAGGATTATTTTGCATGCCCAACTCACAGGGATCCCAAACATCTGAAAACTCTTATTCTTATCAAACTGAAACGCAGACAAAATGTCATGATGTAAGAACCAAAGAGGCTGATGTCACCTTAAAAAGTACTAATGCTGTAATACCAAAGTGCCATTTATATATCCTTTAAAAATTAACTTCATATCTTGTTAAAGATAGGCCATTTGTAGCTCCTAAAGTTCATTTTCTTATCAATTAGCATTTTTATCAGCACAAATATAAACCTTACAAGCACAAAAGTTAAACACACATATGATTATGAAAAGGACTGTCGATAGTTTTACTGAAATATTAACTCTAACCACAGTAAGACTTCTTAATAATAGAGTCCCTCATATTCATGACTCACTGTCCCCAGAAAAACCAGTTTGCACTGAGTTTACTCATTGCCTCTTCCTACATGGAAAGACAATTTCAGAGCAGGCAAGAAGAACTGACCTGGGAACAAACTGATAGGGTGTTTCAGTCTGTGATTACAGAAACAATGTAATAATGCCATACTTTCATAAATGCACTTACAGAATTGTTATTACCTACAAAAGCCATGTGAAATAGAGTAGTGATCACAATACATATTTTGCTTTCAAGGGGCTTGCAGTCTAGTGGGAGAATGAAACAAAAACACAAATTATAATGAGCCCTTCCCAACTGAATTCATCTGAATTCCAGCAGACAGAAATGACTTGAGCTTTTTTTTTTTTTTAAAGCCTTTCAATGATGGCACACAAGTGATGGACGGTGTAGGATCTAGCAGGAAGAAAGAACAAAATTTTTAGGCAGACAGAATGGAAGCCCACAGGCATGCTCCAAACTCTGTATTCCTTGCTGCGATTATTGAGTGCTCTCAAGTATTTTTAAAAGCACAAAAGTAAGATGACCAATGTGAGAAATGCTATTCTCGCAATAGTACAGGTGAAGGGAAGGAAATGGAAGCAAGAAAACTATGAGGTTCTAGAAATCTGAGCTGCAGACCTACTACTGTCCTAAAGGAACACGACTAGGTCAATGACAAGGCCAAGAATAGAAGTGGTCTCCATGGCTTTCACCTGGATGATTGGAAGAAAAGTGACACCATGTTAACAGTGGGAGAAACACAGCAGTTAATGAGTTCTCAAGAAAAATGAATGGTTTCAATTTTTAAAAACCAGCAAACTGCTTGTTCTATGCCTTTAACTATACTATATTTATTTCAGAATAACTTTTTTGTTGTTTACTGAGAGCCATACTTAACCCTATCAGATTTTGAAGTATTTATACCCCTACCTCACTTTAAGATAAAAATACTAATGAAACCAGAAAATCTTAAACAATTTGATGTCTTAAAGAATTTCATCATTTAATTATTAGAACTAGTTTATTGACTATGATGACACTAATGCCTTTCAACATACAAACTGAGTCACAAACTAGGCTTCACCAAGGAAAGTTTTGCTAAGAAAAGAAAGGACAATTTTGTCAGTGTCCTAAATCATTTAAAGAATTTGAAGGGAAAAGGATCCAGAAATTCATTGTAAGATCATATCATCTTTTCCTAACTGGTCTTGAAATTAAATTTGGAATATGTGGACATGAATATGGGAGGGTAACCTCAAGATTTTTAATTGTACAGTAACTCTCCTAGTATTCTTTATTCTAAAAAAAATTAAAAAATAAAAAAAAACAAACCTCAAACAGTAGGCACCAGCAGAATCAAATCAGAAGCACAGGACTTTTTACAAACACCCAATCATACATTATTCATAAATCCTATCTAAAGTATGATAAGACATTTTAAAAGAAAACACATTTATATGCTACATATCTATGACTTTTCACTTTCCTTTTGCTCTACGTGATGTTAATGTGAGATGATGCTACTGATCATTTCAGAAGTTATACAAACTATTCAGTATCTAAAAGTAAAACAATAAATTAGCCTATAGCATGGTTCTGATATGGCAAAGTTGTTAACTGAATTATCTGAAACACCAGAAACATCCACTCTCTGAAGATGAGCAGAATAGAATCGGCATCAGAAAGCAAAGCTTTGTGTCACAGGGCTCTAAACTGAGATTCCAGCTCACACTTTTAAGCTTTAGGTCTCAATTTCTTCACCTATAAAATTGGAATTATACTAGACAAAGAGTCCCATGAAATAAAATTAAATGAGTACTTTCCACACTTGGCTTTCCAGAATCACCTGGGAAATTTTTTAAAAATACAGTATCAGACAGGTGTGGTGGTGCAGATTGTAACCCCAGTACTCAGAAAACGGACCAGGAGTGTCTCAAGTTCAAGACCAGCATGAGCTACACACGTTCAAGGCCAGCCTGCACTATATACCAAAAGCCTGTCTCAAGAAAACAAAACAGAGAGAGAGAGAGAGACAGAGAGAGAGAGAGAGAGAGAGAGAGAGAGAGAGAGAGAGTCTCCATTGCATCCTTTTAAAGGTTATGGCCCAGGAAGTTATATTTTTAAATCCCAAAGATGATCCAGTATCACCACCTGAAATAAATCACTACATATTTTCTATATACTTACATGCATTCTATAGATCTTATATAACATATATTTATGAGTAACATAACATCACCTTACAGTAAGCACTTAAATCTTCAGTAAATGCTTGACATAATTATTTTTAAATTGCATAAACCTCTTACCAAAAACAAGACCTTAAAGCATGAAACAGGTCTGTTACAGAGACACTGAGCAACGACAAAAGTTAAATTCCATTCTGATGGCAATCGCCTTTTTCCACGCATGACAAAATGAAAAAACCCATCCTGTATTTTGTTATAACAAAACTTGGCCAGGTTACTCCATCCCAAAATCTTTTAAACTCATTCCTTGCGTTTCAGAAATTCACACAATTTATGCAAATTTATGACAGGCAACAATGCAATTGCTAAATAATTTGTGTTTGATAAGATTAGTGCTAGCAACAAATACCTAAAAACAGAGATGGGTAATCATGGAAGATTTGATGTTAAGCATAGTAGCAGCATCATTCTTCTTAAAAAGTCTCACACCCTTGAATTAATTAGCATTTCTAAGTAAAGTGGTCTGATACATAGGCTATCAAGCTCTTTAAAAATTTTTAAACATGCTTTTGTATCAATATTGGATACACGCCAATGCTGTATCTATAAAGTTGCACTAATGATTAAAAATTCCTACCATAAAAACCTCAGCATATTCACTTAAATGTGGGTTCCAGCTTGTTTCTATCATATCAGGTAAATTCAGGAAACTATTACAGTACTGAATACACTGTTTTCTAAATTTAGGTACTAAAACAAGTACTTCAAGTTACCACTGACAGAAGATAGAGTGTATCTTATGGTCATTTGGAGTAAACCTCCTCCTGCCTCAGCCTCCTGAGTGCTGGGATTAGAGGCATGTACCACCATGTCCAACAATATTGTTTTACTTTAAAATTGTTACAAATTTTTAACAAATCTAAGTACAGTTACTAATGTCTGAAAGTTAAGTATGTGACCAATATAAACTATTGTGTTTAATTTACTGAACTAGCTATTTTACCTTTGGGTTTATTTCTCCATATACATATCTTCAAAAGATTAGGGAGATCAGTGATCTAATGCTAACAGATTGTAGCAAGTACTGAGAAAGAAGTGTATTATATAAACAAAGCTTAGAGGGAAGAAGTTGTTTTGGTCATAAAATTATAGGACTTTACTGTTTTTTTTCTATTAAGTTTTAGCCACTAATCCTACTGGCATTAAAAAAAAAATAAACCAAGAGATTCAGAAAGCGAAGGTAATCTGATCTTAAGAGGTAAAAAAAACACCAAAAGAACTAGAATTTACAGATGTCTCAAACAAGTATAGCCAGAAGCCATCAATTTCCTGGGCTGGCAAACTTTAACTACTTCCATGAAAAGCCCTTGTAAAGCAATGGACCAGTGCCAACTATCTAGATAGAAAAAGGAGGAAAATTTAGTGAATTAAATATAACACTGAAAACTATTTTCAGAAATATTTAAGATAGGGTGAGTGTCAAAGACACTAAGATTTTAGTCTTTAATACATATCTCATATGCTGCAAAAAGGGAAATATAGTCGCACTATGAAAATCATAGGGTAATATGTTCCTAATCTCCTATACAGCCTCTCTTTTCTATGCTTTCTCAATTACCTTTTGAATGCATCCTCATATTTAAAAGGATGTTTTGGAGAGTAGTTTTGAAAAAGGCATGAAATTTAAAAAACAGAGGATAGGATGGAAAAGAAAGGATTTATACCACTTCCCTATCATTTCACAGAGAGCAAAGAGGTTCCATCTCATACTTAAAAGTATTAGAATGAAAGTAAAATTCTCCAGAGAAAAACAGGATGGGAATACTCATTTTACTGCACCTCAACCTTCTAGAAAAGGTTAAGACATCACAAATTAATAAATTTGTGAAATTAGCTGTGATTCCTATGATAAATATACAAAAATTAACTCCGAAGGAAAATAATTTAAGCTCATGAGTTTAAGGACATTAACATTTCTTTAAAATGTAGGACCTAAAATACTGCAAAGTATAGACAATAACTTACTTGAGTTGGAACAAGCACAGGAGGGTAGGCCATCTTGTGATGCCTGTACACCCAGAATGCACAAATGATAATTCCTGCAATCAACATCAATGGCACCAAAGAGTAGAGCAGAATGTTGTAATACGGTGCTTTAGGTGTAACTGGATTTGAAGTGGCTATAAAAATAGAAGAAAAACCAACTCAGACATGATCTGCACAACTGCATAATAAATATTTATTATAGTGTCACATTTTAGGGGAAAAATGTGAAAAATAGGGTAAATTATTTTTGCAACACAAACATACTGTGTTTTCAATCTACTGGCCAAGATGAACTATGTGTTTTTCTGTGAACTTACGCTGTGTGACTTCCATCTCTGGAAAATAAGAAAATTTTTCATTACACATATTCCCTTCACAGCAACAAAAATATACTTCAGGGCTGTCTTTTTTTTCTATACAATCAGTCCTGTAAACAAACAGAGGAGAAATAATTAAAATAAATATCATGCTGACCATAGAGTAGCTGTTTTTCTCTGAAAAAATAACATACCATTTACATTCAATTTCAACATTTTTATTAACATTTAATGATCAATTCTTAAAAGCCAAAATGTACCTAAACTCCTGTTATTAAATCTCATCAGAAAAAAAAGTTGACCTTATAACAATCACATTAACTCCCTGCGCCTATTACTTTAATGTAGTTTTTAATAATCAATCTAAGGCAACTATCTTTTTTTTAAGTATTAGGAAGGCCTACAGTGGAATACACAATGGCAATGAGGTAATATAGTCTGGGAGTGCTTTTGATCACAGGAAATTCAGCTTTCCTATTTCATGAATATTAGAAACTACATACAAAATTTTGTTTATAAATACACACACAGACACACACACACACCATCAGAACTCAAACTACACTTGGGAATTAATAATGTCATTTTTTATACTAGTAAATTTGAGTTTCTTAAATATAATGAACAAGGTTGAGAACAGCAACAAGTCGAGAACAAATATATGATAGCAAATATAAAGGACCTAGTAACCCAGGTTGATTAGAAGTAGGATGAATTTGGAAGGAAAATAAGCAGCCTTTTGTATAGGTCAATGAAACTGAAAAGACTTGGATTTAGCCCCCAGAACAAACTCTAATCACTGAGAAACAATTATACTTATTTTAAACTAAACTTTTAAATATTACTGACAAACATCAGGTGAAGTTAAAGACACATCTCATACAATAAATTGAAACTCTGTGATGGTGGTTCCAATAATGCTGTTTTCACTCTGAAGTGAAAAGTATAGGAAATTTCAGGGAGACAACTATTTAAAAAAATCCCATTTTAAAATATAATCCACACTAACATCTACCTAGCACAAGATAAAAAGACAAATGAAATCTATTTTTTAACAATTTATAATGAAAAATGTATAAATCCTTAAGTTAGTATTTAGAATCCTGCCTCAAATTATAGGAGTCACATGATCAAATACTTAGCCTAAGTAAGTCAAGAAAATTATGTTTTACCATCCAATTTCATCCTTCTTTATCACTGTCTTTTTTTCTACACTTGGACATTTCTTGATGTTTTCTTTTTTCTTACTTCTCTTATTACCCCAACATTTTTTTTTTAATAAAATTGGGAGCATAAGAACAAAATTCACATACTTCTATATTAACATTTAATCCCTAGAAATAAATTCATTAGCACTGAATAATGCACTCTGCAGACTTCAGTGAAAGGCTCACTACCCATGAGAGTGCTGAGGAAAAATGTTGGTTTTAGGGAATAAACATAGAAGCTTTTTACTAAAAAAAAAAAAATAATAATAAAAAGTAGAAATCTTGCATTCCAAATCATTAATAAGACATACTCTTAAACAAAGATGATTTCCAAACTTAGTTGTTTTGCTTATTTCTTCCTACTTACCTTTCCTAATAGTACTCATCACTAGATGGCCACTTCTGTTGGTAGAGAAACCAATAATCAGAAGTCTAACTAAATCATGTATGCATAAACAAATAATCCCTGAAAAATTCACAGCCTTAGATGTATATAAATTATTTGTTTTCATTTCTCACTAAAAAGTAGAGCTAATTCAATTTTCAGGGTTTATTCAATGCATGTTGCTATTAGTCATATACAGATAACCAGTCACAGACTCCAGGTAGCCAGTCCAGGCTCCTAAAGAAGTAGATCTAGTTTTCAGTGCTTAGAGCACCCCTTTCTGACTCCCAAACTGTTTGATTATCTAGGACTCTGTTATCTCTGCCGGCCATCACCACATACCACAGTCGAAATCCTCTGGCCCAGGCAAGTGAAGTGACCACCCCAACATCTACAGGACTGCTTACAGACAGATCATAGGCTGTCAGTAACATGACTATTGTACTTTATTTCCAGTGCAGAACAACTTAAGCAAGATCTTTTAAATAAAACATAGCTTTCTGTGAGGACTACGTTAGTTCTGATATGTTCTGAATGTCAAGTTAAAATGTCTCTTGGGATAAAGAACAAAGGCCTACTTCACAAGGCAAAAAAAAAGTCGGGGGGAAATGTAATGAGATCAATTTCTTCCAGGTACACAAAGAAGGAAACCGAAAGGAAATTAAATACTACAATTATGCTTTATTGTCCTTGAGGATAAATTTTTCTACAAGCATACTCTCTTTTAAAGTAATTTTTTTTTAAAAAATCCTCATTCTTAAAAATTCACATAAAAAAGTTGTATTCTCACAACATGGGGAAAGAAATGATTTTTAAGAGTTCTTACTATTTCAAAGATTCTTCAGAATATATCGAGGACAAAACATTATCATGCCATGTTTATTATTTTCAAATACATGATCTTTGTCATTGTAGCATGTTATAATGTTAATGTCATTTTTTTCAAAGGCAAGAAACATTGATGTACAAATCCACATATTGAACTTTTCTCAAAAAGGAGAAGGGGAAAAGGAAAATCACTCAATATTGTCATAAAAAAATAAAATATGTCCTCACCTGTCATAGCAGTTGATATCATCCAGCCAACAACCTTGTTTCACTATTTCAATGGAACCAGAAATATTCTTCCAGGTAGCAAAACAATGTCGCCGTTTATCTTTGTCACCATAACAGGGTTCCACACCAGTTTGATTCGTTCTGTCTCTTTCCCAATTAGCATTAAAGAAAAGACACTCCTGAGTTTCTGATCTACCAAGTATAGCACCTATAAGACAATAAAACAACAATTTACTGTAACTGTATTAGCTCTTAAGAGAATGTCTCCCAAGATAGCAACTTCATGTGTTACTAAAATATAAACATTTTATTGTTGCCCCAATGTTATAAGTGATATTTTCTTTCCAGGTTATTCCCAGTACTTTAAAATATAAAATAATTAAAATAACCCAAACTGTCTACAAAAGATTTCTCTTTGTAATGCCTATTTCATTTAAGAACATCCTTGATGAAAAGCAGTAGCAATTGTTAATTTTATGAAATTTCAATCCTTGAGTAGATTTCTTCTCAGAATTCTATGTATCAAAATAAGAACTAAGCAAATAATTCTGCTGCATGACTAAGTATAACGGTTACCTCAAGAAAAAGTTCCTATATGACCAAATGGCAGACTAAACAAATGATAGCCACTCAGACCTGGGAATCTAGAAGTCTCAAAGTGAACCAAGTGAACCTGTTAGCTCAGGAAAGCAATTGACAATATACATTGTCAATGATGAAATGTGAGTCTTCAGAAAAAAGTAAGAATTTTAGAAAATTCTACCTTGTACCTTAGAAGGTAGAATTGTAATTCTACCCTCCCAATATTCAATGACCTTCAAAAAGTGCTCAGCAAGGAAATATGCCAATAGTTAAGAGGTCCATATAATTCACAGAACCAGTATTTTCTAAATGAATTACATATGGCATTACAAAAGCATTCTTGGGTAAAAAAATCTATGTGCAACAATTTGTGATAGCCAAATCTTGGAAACAACCAAGATGCCCATCACCTGAGGAATGGTTAGGAAAGATGTGGTATTTTTACACAATGGAGTATTATTCAGCTATTAAGAATGATAAACTGCCAGCCTTTATATTGAAGTGGATGCCACTTGAACATATACTCATAAGTGAAATAAACCAGAGAAGAAATACAAATAGAAAGATATAATACAAGTTAAAGGAAAGCAGAATCTCAAGGACTAACTAATCAAGAGAGGGAAAGGAGAAGAGCTAGGAAACATGACAATGTCAAGCCATACAGTTATATGTAAAAGATGAGCAAGGCAA